CTGGGGCACATTTTTAGGGGCGGCATTCTGGCGCCGGCCATGCCGCCCCTAAAAATGTGCCGCCCCCAAGCTGGTGCCTAGAGCCGGCCCTGAGTATAACATCATCAAGAGTCGGGACTGCTTACAGGGGATGCAGAGAGGATCACTATCCAGTTCACTTCCACACCATATTATTTCCTCCAAGGCACAGCATAAACTTCAAACCCCAAACCGGGAACAGAAATCCCAATATCCTAATCTAGCCCTTATGTATTGCACACCACTTATCACCTCTGAGGCTTCCCAAGACTGGGATGAATCTCAAGGGATGGAATTCAGAAATAGAGGCTAAAACAAAACAAAAAAATGCTGTACTTTCCTTTATCAAGAGCTGAGCAGTTGACCGATATGAAAGGGAAGAAACAGGTCTAAGGATGAGATGTCTGAAGCCTTCCTTACAGACTTTCCAAAAAACCCTCAAAAACTACTGACAACTGGAAAGTGTTTTTGATGTCTGAAAGAGAAAGACAGGCAGCTATCCAGCGACAGCATTGAACTGGCCCGAGACAGTGTTGCTATGACGAAAGATGCTACGGAGAAAGATAGGGACTCCTGGAGGCAATGATCAGGCAGAACGTTCTGTTGGATTGCATAGTGAAGTTAGGCCAGCAGACAATCCAGCATCTTCAACCAGAACCGGTCATGTTCTGCAGCCCCTCGATTATCTAGGGTACTGGGAACACCAGCCTATGTTCCCCGTTGTAGACCTGCAGCCTTGCTCCCAGAAGCCATTCACTTCCCCAGCCTCAGCACAGGGTAGTAAGAACACCACATGGGAGCCCAGCACATCTGCACTACCCAATGCACGTGACAACTGTGACCCCAATACACTACCCTAGAAGGCAGAGGATCTAGAAGAAGCAAAGGCAAGATGTTCACCTGCGTGTGAACAGAAGCCCCCTCCCATGACTTATTGTGTGTTGCCCTCTTCAGCCCACTGTGTGTGAAAGTCATTTTTTCACTTTAAAGCTGTGTTTGATGTTGTTTTAATCACTAAGATCAATGCTTGTACCATTTTCTAAGTTTTATTTTAGGTTTTTATTTATTGCAATAATTTGTGCAATAAAAAACATTAAGTCCCAAAGCACCTGCAATGGATGGTACACACAACCCACAAATTTTCAACTGAACAGCAGTGTCGAAAGTTTTTATAAAAGCACTGATGGTATAAAATAGAGTAACCAAATGTGTCACTTCCAGCATCCATAAAATCAACTTTAATGCTCAAAATTCTCCCCCCTACCTCCCCCAAAACCCACAGCTGGATGTACAGCTGCACTCCTTCAGGCACCAGACTCAAAGTAAGAACAAAAGCAGTCCCTGACAATGCCTTGTATGCCTTGGGGCTGCTCATACTGCTGAGCAAATCTCGGCACCACAGGCTCCCACACATTAAGACTTTCTCCCTTACTCACAGATATTGTGCAAAATACAACATGCAGCTATAATCCTAGGTAAATATCATTGTGCAGCTTCTAACTTAATGAAAAGATAATGCCATCTTGATTTCAAACGGCCGAATGCACACTCCGCTGCCATTCTGCGACTGCTGAGACGATAGTTAAGCAGTTTATTCCTTCTGTCGAAGTGCACCATAAATTACTTCACTGTTCAGTGTAGCAGAGGATAAACTGGGTCTCCCACAGTACCCAAAGAAATCTGCATGCTGTTAATGTCCATAGTGATCCTGGAGGCAAACGCTCCACTCATTAAGATAAACAGGCACGAGTTCCAAAAGATCCCAGTATTGTTGACTTTTCCAGACTACCCTGCATGTATGTTTGTGAACCTGCCATGGTCGTCAGCCAGGCCTTGGAGCATCATAGGGAGCACCTTTCAATTCAGCTCTGACGCCTCATGTTGAAGGCAAATGATAGGTATGTGGGTCCCATCAGTTTCCCCAATACAATTTTGAGAACCCCATGTATGCAAAGCCATCAATAGAGTCCTAAGCATTAGCATTGCCAAGTTTTATAACCCAGTGCACCCGTACCTTCTGATAGCAGTACACGCTTGCATGACAGTATCCCCACAGTTGATCTTCCAACACTGAATTGGTTGTCTACAGACCAGTAACACTTGGGGGGGTGGACCATTGCTAGATAGTGACCTGTTTGTGAACGATGGTAAACAGCATGCTAGTTAGGGTGACCAGACGTCCCAATTTTATCGGGACTGTCCCGATATTTGCTTGTTTGTCCCACGGGACACTGGACAAAAAAGCAATTTTGCCCTCCGCTCCAGCGCACAGGCGGAGCCCAGAGGGGCTCTCGCCCCCAGCCCCGCCCCCTCCTTCTCCCATTGGGTCCCTCCCAAAATCCCCGCCCTGGCCCAGCCCCGCCGCCTCACTACCCCATTGGATCCCTCCCCAAATCCCCACCCTGGCCCCACCTCTTCCCCAAGCACGCCGCATTCCTCCTACCTTCAAGGCTTGCGCTGATCAGCTGTATGGCGGTGCAAGCCTGGAGGGACGGGGTGGCCCTCAGCACTCACCCTGCGAACTGCTCCAGTCCAGCTTCTCCAGGAAGGTGAGCACACCCCGGCAGAGATCCCGCAGCGGCTCCCTCCGCCCGAGCCCCCGGTAGAAGGTGAGGCAGGCCTGGGCCTCCTGCGCCGCGCCCATGGCTCACGGAGCGGCCTGGCCCGGGCAGGGAGGGTGGCCAGGAAGCGAGCCAGGCTGCCCTGGGAATCTAGTGCAGCACGTGGGCTTGGCAGCTCTGGGGCCACCATAGAGTCGGTTGGAGATGGGGCTGTGCCACCTGGCGGGGTGGCGGGCGCTCTGGCGGCTTTTTTTTTTTTGCTCCACCACCGTTTTTTTTTCCCCTTCGCCACGCCCATGGTCCCAATATTTCGTGTTTGTCATCTGGTCACCGTAATGTTAGTATGCTGCCACTGCAGCTTTGAGGTGAGCTCAGCACAGATCTCAAAAAGAGCTGTGTTTGCCATCCAGAAATCCTGTCACCACTGCATGTCCTCCCAGGTCTGCAGAACCATCCTTTCCAACCAATTGATACTGGTTTCCAAGACCAGAAATGGCATTGTGCTGTGTGAAGCTACTCCAAGAACAGCTCGTGTAGTAGCAGTTGCTCAGGGTATGTCTACACTATGAAATTAGGTAGATTTTGTAGAAGTCGATCTTTAGAAAGCGATTTTGTACAGTTGATCATGTATGTTCCCACTAAGCGCAGTAGGTCGGCAAAGTGTGTCCTCAATACCGTGGCTAGCATCGACTCATGGAGTGGTGCACTGTGGGTAGCTATCCCACAGTGCCCACTGCCCATTGGAATTCTGGGTTAAGCTCCCAATGCCTGATGGGGCAAAAACATTGTCATGGGTGGTTTTGGGTACATGTCGTCAGTCTCCCCTCCCTCCCTCCTTCCTTGAAAGCAATGGCAAACAATCGTTTTGTGCCTTTTTTCCTTGGTTATCCATGCCGACGCCATAGCACGGCAAGCATGGAGCCTGCTCAGCTCACTGCTGCTGTTGTGAGCATTATAAACACCTCGCACATTATCCTGCAGTATGTGCAGAACCTGGCTAGGAGACCCCAGCATGAGGACGATTGTGAGGAAGACATGGACACAGATGTTCCTGAAAGCATGGGATGTGGCAATTGGGATATCATGGCGGCAGTGGGGCAGGTTGATATAGTGGAATGCTGATTCTGGGCCCAGCAAACAAGCACAGACTGGTGGGACCGCATAGTGTTGCAGGTATGGGATGATTCCCATTGGCTGCGAAAGGCCACTTTCATGGAACTGTGTGAGTTGCTTTCCCCCGCCCTGAAGCGCAGGAATACCAAGATGAGACTTGCCCTGCCAGTTGAGAAGCGAGTGGCAATAGCCCTGTGGAAGCTTGCAATGCCTGACTGCTATTGGTCAGTCGGGAATCAATTCGGAGTGAGCAAATCTACCGTGGGGGCAGCTGTGATCCAAGTAGCCAAGGCAATCAGTGATCTTCTGCTAGCAAGGGTAGTGACTCTGGGAAATGTGCAGGTCATAGTGGATGGCTTTGCTGCAATGGGGTTCCCTAACTGTGGTGGGGCGATAGACGGAACTCATATCCCTATCTTGGCACTGGATCACCTTGCCAACCAGTACATAAACCGCAAGGGGTACTTCTCAATGGTGCTGCAAGCACTGATGGATCACAAGGGATATTTCACCGACATCAGCATGGAATGGCTGGGAAAGGTGCATGATGCTCACATCTTTAGGAACTCTGGGCTGTTCTAACAGCTGCAAGATGGGACTTACTTCCCGGACCAGAAAATTACCATTGGGGATGTTGAAATGCCAATAGTTATCCTTGGGGACCCAGCCTACCCCTTGCTCTCTTGGCTCACGAAGACATACACAGGCAGCCTGGACAGTAGTAAGGAGCAGTTCAACTATAGGCTGAGCAAGTGCAGAATGGTGGTAGAATGTGTCTTTGGACATTTAAAAGCTCGCTGGCGCTGTTTGCTGACTAGCTTAGACCTCAGCGCAACCAATATTCCCATTGTTATTGCTGCTTGCTGTGTGCTCTGTAATATCTGTGAGAGTAAGGGGGAGACGTTTATGGCGGGGTGGGAGGTTGAGGCAAATTGCCTGGCGGCCAGTTTTGAACAGCCAGGCACCAGGGCGATTAGAAGAGAAGCTAGGTATGCTGCATTAGAGAGGCTTTGAAAACCAGTTTCATGACTGGCCAGGCTATGGTGTGACAGTTGTGTGTGTTTCTCCTTGATACAAACCCACCCCCTTTGTTGAATTTACTTCCCTGTAAGCCAATCCCCCTTGCCCTTTCGACCACAGCTGGCAAAGGAAATAAAGTCCCTGTTGTTTTGAATCCATGCATTCTTTATTTATTAAGAAAAAAGTGAGATCACAGACAGGGTAGCCTGGGTGGGCTGGGGAGGAGGGAAGAACAAGGTAACATTGCTTATTGTCGCCACACTACAAATCAAAACTGTTTGAATGACAGCCTTCTGTTGTTTGGGCCATCCTCTGGAGTGAAATGGCTGGGTGCCCGGAGCCTCCCTCCCCCCCGCATTCTTGGGCATCTGGGTGAGGAGGATATGGAACTTGGGGAGGAGGGCAGGCGGTTATACAATGGATGCAGTGGTGGTCTGTGCTCTTGTTGCCTTTCCTGCAGCTCCACCAGACACCTGATCATGTCCGTTTGCTCCCCCATTAGTCTCAGCATCTCCTCCTACGTGTTCTGATCACGCTCACTGAATGCTTTCCTGGCCTCTGCCACCATGCATTCAGCTGTGCCCTATCAGTTCGGGAGGACTGCATGATCTCAGAAAACATGTCATCGCGCGTGCGTTTTTTTGCCTTCTAATCTGCAATAACCTCAGAGAAAGAGATGATATGGGGAGCATAGAAACATTTGCACCTGCAGGGAGGATAAAAAGGGAGAGTAAAATTTAAGAAGATACATTTTTGAGAACAAAAGGGAGACTCTTTCACAGTGAATCAAGCAATTCATAGCAGACAGCACATGGGCTTTAGGTACAAGGTCACATTTTGCCTTTTATATTGAGCGCCTGCCAGTATGGTGACACATCACACATAGCTGGGCAACAGAATTCGGTTTCCAGGCAGCCATGGTAAGCCAAAGGGTATGCGGGGTTGGCTTCTTCCGCATTCATAACATGCGGGAATGATTTCAAACTGCAGCACCCTCCTTTCCCATAGCAAGCAATGCCAGCTGGGTTTGCCATTTAAAAGGAGGGGACTGGGGTTTTGGGTTGAATATGCAGCACACCCCTCCCCCCACTGCGTGGCCATTCTCCAGGATGATCCCTTTTAGCCAAGCGCAGAACCTTTTTCTGTTCCCTAACAAAAATTCCCCTATTTCAACCAGGTGACCATGAATGATATCACTCTCCTGAGGCTGACACAGAAAAGTAAAGGCCGAATGTCGCATGAATGCGACCCACCCCCAGGACCATTCGCTGCCATGCTTTGTGCTGCAATGATTCCAGACTACTTGCTACTGGCTTGGTGTGGTAAAGTGTCCTACCGTTGAGGACGAAATAAGGCAGCCCTTTCCAGAAACCTTCTGCAAAGGCTTTCAGAGTATCTCCAGGAGAGCTTCATGGAGATGTCCCTGGAGGATTCCCACTCCATCCCCAGACACGTTAACAGACTTTTCCATTAGCTGTACTGGCTGCGAATGCATCCCAATTATTCAGGGCAAATCAAATATTAAACACAATTGCTTTTAACCCCTGTAGTGTAGCTACAAATGTGCACTCACCAGAGGTGTTTTCTCCGCCTTCAGGGACCGGGAACCCGCCTTGGGAGGCTATTGGCTCCAGGGTGATGAAAAGGTCCTGGCTGCTGGAGAGAACGGATTCTCCACTTGCCTGCTGCACATTCTCCTCCTCCGCCTCTTCCTCATCCACAAAATCCTCCTCCCTGTTGCCTGAGACTCCCCCCTTGCAGGTGCCCACAGACAGTGCTGGGGTACTGGTAGGGTCCCCCCCTAGAATCGCATGCAGCTGATCATAGAAGTGGCATGTCTGGGGTTCTGACCTGGAGCGACCATTTGCCTCCTTTGTCTTGAGGTAGGCTTGCCTGAGCTCCTTAACTTTCACACAGCACTGCTGTGTCCCCCTGGTGTAGCCTCTCTCCACCATGCCCTGTGATTTTGGTCATGTATATATATATATATCAGCATTTCTTCTTTTTGATCCGAATTCTGCCTGCACAGATTCTTTTTCCCATACAACAATCAGATCCAGTGTCTCCCATTCGCTCCATGCTGGAGCTCATTTGCAATTCTGAGACTGCATGGTCACCGGGCTGCTGAGCTCTCCATGCTGACCAAACAGGAAATGAAATTCAAAAGTTCCCGGTGCTTTTCCTGTGTACCTGGCTAGTGCATCGAGTTGAAAGTGCTATCCAGAGCAGTCACATTGGAGCACTCTGGGAAAGCTCCCAGAGGCCAATACCATCGAATTGCACAATGCTGCATCTGCACTATCCCAAATTCGAACCAAGAAGGTGGATTTTAGCGCTACTCTCCTCGTCAGGGAGGAGCACAGCCGTCGATTTTAAGAGCCCTTTAGGTCAACGGAACAGGGTTGGTAGTGTAGCCGCTTATAAAATCGACCTAACGTGGCTAAATTCAACCTAACGTCATAGTGTAGACCAGGGCTCAGTGTCTTTCCTTCTCCTTCTGCTGCTGTTGTGGCTGCATCCGCGGTTTGTTGGTTGAAATCCAAAGCCCCCCCCAGCACCGAGAGCTCAAATAAAGCCCAAACAGTCTTTGCATGTTCGTCATTGCTGGCATGGAGCACTGTTGTGTCCATGCTGGCCTATGGCAATTCAGAAATAGCTCTAGCCCACCTTGGAAGAGAGGAACGACAGGATGGAGGGAGCAGAATCATGGGATTTGGGGAGTTTGACCCCAAGTCCCAGAATTCCACTGTTTGTTCAGTAATAATTTCTCTTGTTTTCCTTTAGGAGCAGTTTCAACAGGTATTAAACCTCCCATAAGAATTCAGTCTGCTTCCTACAGGACACTTTGCCAGGAAGCCTTGCTAATGTAAGTCCTATGAAATTTAGTAACTGAAAGAATTTCCATTTAGTTATTTAAAGAAACAACTCAGATAGTATTTGCTTAATTCTCAGCATATAGCAAAGTTAAAAATTGTAACAAGGTCTTTTGAGTCCAATTCCAGTTCCTTAACCACAAGGCTATCATTTCACTTTAGCCTCTCAACTTCAGAATGTAGCTCTCGAAGAGATCTTGCTAGAAAAAGCAAGCACAAATAACAGGTGTAATAGTTTTTCTTTGGGTCCAGTGCTTACAGTGGCAGGCAGCCCAGTCCCCCGCACCTCCACATTACTCTAGAAAAAGCTTTTACTTGATAACTTTATTTAAATACAATTCTCTTTAAAATGAAGCCTTTTACCAAAGCTGCCTTCCTCTGTCCGCATCATTAATAGTGTGTATATTCTGTGTCATTGAATTCTCTCTCTTTCTCTGGGGGAAAAAAGTGCCTAGGGTAAAACTTTCAAAATTGCTTAAGGGCCAGATTTTTAAAAATACTTTTATGGGCTAGGTGAAACCTTGTAATGGGTTGGATTAAAACCCTGTTGAAGTTGATAGGTATGAACTCACCTTTCAATTAACAACTGTAAACATAAACTCACACCTAAGACAAAAGGTGTGTGAGAATCCACTCCAGAGCTTTTGGGCTGAGTATTGTGTAGAGTAAGTGTGTGAGAGTAGGAGAGAACACAGGCACACAGGCACAGACAAGAACAAAGCGAGTGAAAAGAAAAGAAGCAAAAGCCAAGGAGGGGCCTGCAAGTACCCTGTGATCCTGGAAACGCTAGAGAGAGAGAGAGAGACTTTGCATCTGGTGTTGGCTAAAGAGGCCTGGGAGCTGAATGCTAAGGGCTTGTCTGCTTTGCTGCAGCTGCAGCACTGTAATGCTTTAGTGAAAACGCTATCTATGCTGACGGGAAGGCTTCTCCTGTCGGTGTGGTGATCCACCTCCTTGAGAGGTGGAAGCTATGGCCATGTCTACCCTACCAGCTAAGTTGGCACTGCTGCGATCGATACAGCAGTGTTGATTTAGCGGGTCGGGTGGATTTTCCATCACTGGCAATTTCTAAATCAAGATTGGATGTTTTTTTTCTAAAATACTCTTTAGAAATTATTTTGGGGAAGTTATATGACCTCTATTATACAAGAGGTCAGAGTAGATGATCACAGTAGTCCTTTCTGGCCTTGGAATCAATGAATCTTCCTCAGTTGTGGGATGTGGTTTTTTGGGGATCTAGTAAAATGCTCTTAGATAGATAGTTCCCAATTATCATTCACATTTTCCTGTTTCCATTTGCTCCCAAATGACTTAGCTCATAGTTGTTTTCAGCTTTCAGAGTGCCAGTTGCACAAAGTATGAAAGAGTGTGTGTGTGTGTGTGTGTAATATAAAAAAATGGGTGTGGACTATATTCTGTTTGCATATAACAAGTGTGATCGAGTCATGATTACTTGTTCCTAAGCTACCACTAACTTTGAGTTCTGTGATCAGTTCCTCTCTGTGTCAAGATGAAATAGAATTTTGCTATATTGAATGCAGCAATTTTTGAGTTAGGAAATTGTCATTTATTATAATTAGAAATTCCGAGGATGTTTCAGTAATGGCAGCATGAGACCTCCATCCTATCACTAAGCTTGAAATCCCACATTATAATGCAGCTCTTCTCCCCTCTGCCCCCCACCCCACTATGGATAGGTGCTTATGGAGCTGGTCATACTGTTCTAGTGTGATTTGGTGGTCTGTAACAGACACCAGCTAGTACCTCATCTTGTGTTTTATTCGTTAGGACATTGATCTATAAGCATTCAAGATGACTTTCTTCCAGTGCCAGTGACTCAGAAGCAGGTAATGCCACTCTCTTCCCCTTTTGCCCACTTGATCCTTCCTAAACAGGTTTATAAATGTGGCTAAAGGGAAACCAGTAGAAAGTAAGTAGATCCCTGGCTGTCAAATGTATGAAAGGTGAGCACACATGTGTTGCTGCTATTTCAGATGAATATCTATCTGTGTAAGATTTATCTTTCCCTTAAAAATACATTCTAATTATATTAAAAGCTTTTTATAAATATCTGCTTATATGAATCTCTTCACTGACTGAAATAAATGCTCTTGCCATAGGCAGACGGAATTAATTATTATAGACCAAACTTCCTTTTCATTTCTACCTTTAAGATGTAATATCCCATTCACATAGGATACATAGGACCCTAGATACTTGACTTTTAAAAATGTAAATCTGTTACAGGAAAGAGAGCAGGGCTATATCTTCTTACTTTAGATTTCATCTGACTCATACCCAGGCTCAAAATAAAGAATTGCAGAGCCCCGCATACTATGGAAATTGCCCTGCCTTCCTTAAACTAGACAGCATTTGAAATGCAAGAATATTGCTGTCCTAGGCAAAACTTCAGTGTGCCGACGCCAGAACAGAGGCTCTCAGCTGGAGTGTGAGATGTTGGACTTTCTGGGGCAGTAAAGCAAACCTACTGATGGTTCAGTGCAGGGCCGGCTCCAGCTTTTTTGCCACCCCAAGCAGTGAAGGGAAAAAAAAAAACTGATTGAGCTGCTGCCGAAGTGCCTTAGAGGAAGACACGGAGAAAAGAACCCGCCGCCGAACACTAAAGCGGAGCACCACCCTGATAACACTGGTCTACAATTTTTGAGAAGTCGTCTGCTTCAGAGATAAAATGTGCTATTTATTATGTATTTTGATGTGCTGAATTCAGATATGACAATTAAAACAACTGATTGGCTACTGTTTCTAAGAGATTTAAGTTTTTACATTTTATGTCTATGTATATTGTGTAGATAGTAGAGTTTTAATCATAAATTGTAAACGTAGGTCTTTTCATGTGTTTAT